ACACGCGTTACTACAACTTGCACTTGTCTTTGGTCGTGCTTCCCTCCCGTGAGCTCCTTCGTCAGCCCGCCGCTGTTTAAACTCACCAGCTATGAACCAGCAGAAGAGGAACAAAGATGTCAACGAGTTCCAGGTCGTGCAGACCTGACTGAGCGGGTTGGGGGTGCCGTCTTCAGGGGTTCTGGCGCAGGGCAGGCAGGAGAGCGCCGCCAGCACCAGGCCAAAGACTCCCGCCACGATCAGATAGATGGGGATGTAGTGCTGCCGCGGACAGTCATCCAGATATATTGCACCTGATGGACACGTGGTCGATGACAGGAGATTAGTTCAATTCTGTCTTTCAACATATTTAAAATACAAGATTTCAATGGAACAAATAAAATGTCTGAATGTGAATCGCTCACTCACCGATGATAATCTGAGCAACGGGTATGACACAAAATACCAACTTTGAACATGCTGCGAGAAGAAAGAAAACAATTAGATGAATGCGCGGACACCTGCAGCCTCCTTTCTGCACATAATCAAAACAAAATGAAACTATAACAGGAATGTGTATGGTTCAGTTGATCTCACCTAGCATCGGTGTTGGGGGTTGAGGGCGGCTGCGGATGCGTTGAATAAGGCCGGTGTTTGACATTATGAGTAGTGGGGATGCTCACCTACAGAGGAAGATCAAGAACTGAGAGAGAAGTGTAGACTCAGGTCGTCTACATTGTTCTGCATGCTGAAACATTTTACTCAAAGTGATCTTTTATCGGCCAGAAGACGAGAAGGAAACAAAAGGTTTTCAGAATGTTAACATAAGAAGACAAGATGTTGCTCCCATCAAAGGCAACATCACTGTTTTACAGAGGTAGAGTTCAGATTATCCTTTTATCTAAAAGCTGCAGTTAACAGTTGATTAATCAATTTCTCAATTAAACCCATAAAATAAATCAGCATCTTTTTTGGATAATCAATTTAAATGTTTGATTAATTTTTCAAGCAAAAGTGCCAAAAATGTGCTTTTTGTTTAGCATAGAGATTCAGCACAGTACTGGGTTTCAAGGACATTTCAATAGACCAGCATTTTAAAAGACTAGATTATTGTTTCTTAAATTCTCACGATGAGTAATCTGAATTTGATGTGTAAAATCACTGAAGTTTCCCTTTAAACATTTAGGGAAATTACTCAAAGAAGTGTCCTAGATTTCATTTGTGTTAAATGTATGTTTTTATGGACCAGGAACGATGCACAGACCCGTCATACATGCATGTTGATGCTCATTAGAGTGATCTAATCTTGGGTCAGGTCAGTTCATTTAGCCACAATTCAGACCAGCCTGAATTCAATTTAGTTGTCATGCAACTCCTAATTATGAGTGTTCACCACTGCAAATATGAGTACACAAGATGTAGTGACATGAACAGGGGCGGGGGGTTAAAAATGCCTTCAACTTTGTGTCATTTCCCCTCAATCTCTCCGACTGGTCAGCTAAACATTCATTCTGTGAACTCTAGTCCAGCACTGTACAACTAAAGGTTTCAAGATTAGCAATGCTGTTTACGCTAAACTCAGTCATCCTCCACATTTGTTATGGTTTCAGAATGATGAAGACAGCTGGAGAACACTTAGATACAAAATAGGGTGTAGAGTGCACAGTGAGATTTTCTTTTTTTCAAGTCAACAAGTTCTTGGGACTACTTTTTAAAAGGAAATAAAAGCTTCCTTCAGCCCATTGTTGTCTCAGTTTTACGTTCACACAGTACTTGTGTGACGACAGAATACTCTCTCAAGTACAGCCAAGAGGTTTGACTGCATTCCCAACAAAGCAGGTTTGACCAATAATCAGGAAACAACCTGTGCGCTTACTATAACATGAAAACAGACACGCGTGAAGCTGAAACATTGATTGGGTTGGTCCAATTTCAAAGTATTAACAAGTAGTTGTGTTTTATTTATGCAATATCAGGCAAATAAAACTCTGAGCCTTTTGTTTTCAGGTCGTCAAACCTGAAAAGATAACGTCAGCGGCCTCGCCTCTCATTTTACGCAAACGTTAACCGTTCTCCGGCCCGCCCGGTAACACACGCGACATCAAGTCAACTTTTGGAGTCTGATCACGGGTTTAAACTGCAAATGTAACCGCAAAAAAAAAAAAGTGTGTAAGTAGTAATGCAATGCGGTGAAAAGTCCCTGTTGGTCGTTTTATTCTCCGACACTTACCTTTGCTTTAGTCGGGAGTTTACCTGTCCCCTCTGTGTGTGTGTGTGTGTGTGTGTGTGTGCCGCTGTGTGACAGCCGCGCCTCGTGAGATGCCAAACCTCCACCTCTCGGGAGCGCGCATGGCCAGAGCGGCGTTCACGCGGTCAGCTGATGTTTCTCTCTATAACAGACCAAAACATGTAGGCTACATTTTGACGGTTGTCGTCGACAAAAAAGAACTTAGATTAGTCAATTAAAATAAAAAGTACTCATGGTACCATTAACATGCCATTCTGCTGCCTGGTGTTAGTATGATACTGTTATTGTTGTAGATCAGGTGGAGTGAAACCACCACAGGCATACTTTGTATACTATTTTGGTAGTTAAACCCTGAACAACACATCATTTTAGCAACTCATTATAGGTTGCGTAAAACTGAAAAGTAACTTAAAGCTGTCAGTTAAATGTAGTGGAGTAAACTTAGTTACTTTCCAACCCTGATATTTCTTTACAAACATGGGTCTGTCGTCCACATGTAAGTTATATTCTTGATAAAAAAATGTTGATGTTCAAATCGGTATAAATAAACATGTCTGTTAGAACAAACTATGTTTCTTTTTTTCAGACTTTTATTTAGGTTTTTTTTAATGAAATATTGCATATTTTCCTCTTTGAGAAGCATCTAAAAGCTCTTTAAATTAAACAATCTGAGGGATTTATTTTTATTATTTAACTGCTCAAGTTCATTTCCACACTAAGGCTATTTCCAGGCTATGGTCCTGGATGTGTTGACAGCGTTGACGTTAACTTAAGGAGGGAAATGAAGAAGCTGGTACTGCAAAATTGAGTTTTCATGTCATTTGCTAGTCATGTTATTGTGAAGGACTTCTTTGGGAATAAAGAGATTCATTTTTTATTAAGAATAGCAGAAGAAATATCTAAGTTGTAAAAGTGATAATAAAGTGGCATGGAATGCAGATAGAATAGATTAATAAAACTAAATAAAGTATCACGGAATATTTGTACAAAAGTCCAAAATATGAAGACTTGTAAACGCTGTAGCTGTTTGATTTAGGGCAACATAATGGTACAGTCATGGTACTTTAAGATCACTTTCAAACGCAGCACCTAAATATAACTCAGGATAATCAAATACTGCCAACTGAGAGCAGATAAAGGCTGAAGGAGCCTTTTATCTTAACTTTATAGTTTGCATTAACAGAGGCGTGGCCACATAGCGGCTGCACAGTTGTAATGATCTTCCTGATGTTGTCAGCCGCAGTGACGTTGCAGTTTATCTCCATAATCTCCATATCGTCAAAAAGTTAGAAATTATGAAAAAAAGACTTTGTAAATGTTGTGCTACTTTCTCTGTGTGAGTGTTATTAAATAATAACTAAAAATATCCCAAAATGCAACATGTCTGTCTTTGATTCACAAGGGTGCACTTCAATAGTGCACGTTGTCTGACTACTGATTTCAGTCTCGTCTAATCGTAAAAAGATATGAGGCCATCTGAGGTCAGCAAAATTGAATAAAAAGACTCTGGGCTGAATGCGAAAGTGTTCCTTAAATAGGTATTTCAAATGTGAAGTCATCATTTAAATCCTGCAATATTTCACATTTGGCCTATTAAAAATGACAACTCAAGCACATGAACAAGATAAATTATTTGTAAAATCAATTGACACTTTTAATGACAACAAGAAAACACAACAGCAATGATATTAAATATAATAGCACACAAAGTTATTTTGGCAGCAGTTTCAAATGTCCTTTTGTTAGACTGCTGAAGTCATGAAGGATGCCCACCTTCACGTCTGACCAGCAGATCACCACAGAGCATACACAGTGAATAGTGAAATACGCGATACACCTTTGACTTCATCCTTGAAGTTTTTGTTTTTACTAGTTCGTCCGTCAACTTCTTCCTGGGAGGAAGTTACCAGACGACTCTGTTCATCACAAGTCTGTGAGGCAGACGCTGGAGGACGTCTCAACGTAGACGCACCCTCGGCATCCTGAACGGGATTGGCCGCCTCGCAGATCGATCACGTGGCTCCGACTCCTCTCGGACTCTGCCGTCTGGAGTCGACCCTCGCCGAGCACGCAGTCCCACAGCCGACCTCTGCTCCACAACTGCACACGAGACAAGGTTGACTGTGTGCGCATACTGTCTGTGTGTGTGTGTGTGAGTGTGTGCATGTGTGTGTGTGTGTGTGTGTGTGTGAAAGAGAGGGGAATATGGATGTGTCAAACCTCAATAGAGATGGGTGTGCCGGGGTATCTCCTGTAGAAAACAGCTCTGAGGTTGAACTCGGGGTTTCCCTCCACCTTGAAAACTTGCGTCCTGATGGTGTCATTCTCACACCGCACTATGGCATAAACATCTGGAGCTGTGGATCATAACACACACAATACAGCAGGGTGTAAAGAAGGAACAAGATAAGAAGTCGGCCTGCAACCACAAACACGGTGCCATCTTCACCTGTCTGTTTGGGAAGGCCGAGTCCTGAAGCCCTGCGGAGGTGGACTGTGGTCACCACAGTGGGTTGAGGTAGAAAACACTGGAAGACAGAGGGAGACGGCAAATCCTCCCTCAATTCCCTAAACACACAAAAAAGATGGAACAAAAGGAGGATGAGGATGAGCATTGAAGAGGAACAAAGCTCAGTTAAATCTGAGAAAAGTACTGTTCCCGTAAAAGTAAAAGAAATTATCCACAATATTTTCATATTTTGAGTTTCTTTGTGGTTTTTTTTATTATTTGTTGCCACTTTATTTGTTTTTTCTCATTCCTAACATTTTTGTTGCATCATTTGTCATTTTTGGTTTTCTTTTTCGGAGTATAAACATATTGTGAGAATACTTGGAACATCTACGTCACGCACTCTTGCAATAAGGTATATAAATATTGAAATAAATACACTGTATCTTTGCAAACTACAACACCAAAATGATTTCATCTTTACTGTATGAATATTTTACATTTGTTGTTTCAAACATTGCCCTAAAATCCATTGGGAAGCACATGAAGCAGTTTCCATGTCTCACAGCAGAAAAACAGTTGTGTTCGGAATACAAATTTAAAACGAACAAAAACAAGGATGTCACGTGTTTTTGCCATTATCAACCATGGACACACATAAACATCTGTGACAGACCTGAGTCCGACATGGGAATGGCAGAAGAGGCGTAGCAGGAAGCGTCCTGTGACGCCCGGCAGGAAGGTGGTGGGCAGCACAACATAGCGCCCTGGAGCCAGAGTCCCCCTCAGCGTCACACTGCGGGAGTCCATGTACACCGAGCTGGCCGCCTGCTCCACCACACACTGCACCCGGCTGCAGCGGTTCACCTCCACCTGGGCCACGACAATGCAGCGGGGGGGAAATCATTATTTCTGTGAGAACTGAAAGAAAGCCTTTGTTCACATTTCAGTCCGTGAACTGCTCACCTTCAGCACCTCGAAGCCGATAGGCAGGTTTTCTCCTCCTCCATCTTTCCTCCGTATCCTCCTGTCCTCCTGCTGCAGACAGATCAGCACCTCCTGCTCTTTGCCTCTCACCTCAAACATGAACTAGAGAGTCAGAAAGAAAAAACATGTTAAAAGAATCCATGCACTCACCGCGTACTAAGAGTTTCCACATCAGTTTTACCTGTGGATTGTGCAGGAAAGTGTCTCTGTGGTTGATGCATCCTCCACATCGACTCCTCTTATCCATCTGTGCCTCCCATCCTCCCACCTCTCCACTGTCGTCTTCCTTTGTCACCTTTTTCACAACCTTCTCTCGCTCACACTTTCCTCCTTCCCCTCCCTTCTTCGGCTGACTCTCCCCAAGTCTGGCCTCCTTCCGGTTGCCTCGCTGCTTGGTCACTCCGGGTTTGGTGTTGTTCTTCCCCAAGCTCAGCGCGTGGTTGCTGTGGAGGACGGTGGATGGAGGGGTTCCTGTAGTAGTGGGAGCTCGAGCCCACTCTCCGTAGCGACGCACTTCCCTCCAGTGAGAGCTCGGCCACAGCAGAGCCCTCTCCACCAGCCGGCACACCACCACGTCTGTGAAGTAGTGACAGAAATCTTCCAAATTCATCCTGAGGAACAGGAGAGGAAATTCATTTTTGCAGGACAATAACAGGACATTTGTATGAAGAATCAGCAAGATTTCAATCATGCTACATGGCCACTTTTGTTCTTTCCATGCTGAGGTATTGGGGAGCCAAACAAATAATAAAGCATGAAAATCTACCAGAACTCCCCCACGTCTCGGACAATCAGGCCCGTCTTCTCCCTGTCTGCACGACTCATCTGTTGCCACTGCTGCGACCTGCAGGGGGCGTGCAAGGAGAATAATGCCAAAGGCAGCAGGGGAATGAAAATGCAGAGCTGCAGGGTTCAACACACTGCAAATGACATGTGAAAAGTACAAGTAGCGTTTCAACTTCTGGAACCCTTTATAGGTCCATTTTGGCCATTTTCAGAGTTTCTCAGACTTTCACAATGTAAATGGCAGATGTCTCTTGTAAAACGATTCCAAAACTATATTGTCAAATGTCGGAAATTGGAATTATAAAATGTTGTAAAAACAGACCGACACGGTTAAACTTTCCCACAGCTCCAGCAAAACGTATGATGTACTCAGCAGCAGTTGGACATGTGGCAGGTGAAGCCAGCGCAGAGTTCAAAGTACCCTTACCCCTGACTCCAGGGACCCGTCCAGTGTGTGGTCCCCCACGGGTTCCTCATGCGCACCATGAAGAGTCGGGACGTCCAGCCCGGCACCGTCTCCCCCAGCCTCACCTTCCTCACTGCTGTGATCCCGTAGGCGTGTCCTCGAACCAGGCCACAGTCCAACACCGACTCCACTGTCTCCCCCTCTGCTGGCTGAGAAATAACACATATAAGAATGCATTCAACTTATCCGAGTCGCTGCATTTCTGACACACAGTGCATCTCTTTTGCTTGAAGATACTCCGAGATACTGGGCTCTACCCGTATGGAGCAGGTGATGAGGGCTTTACGTTCATGAGCCTGAGCTAATGTCTGGAAGAACGCCCTCCTCTGATCGCTGTGCAGGCTGAGGGCCTCACGATCCAGGCTGAGGGGCTCCGAAACCCCGCCGGTGAAGTCGATTAGCGCCTCTGTAGTGTTTCCTCCCTCCAGGGCCTCGTAGCAACCGTTTAGCCTGGAGAGTAACCAGATAGATTGACTGAATGATTCATAACTTTCCGCTCTTCTCTCTCTCCCATGTCTCACTCCACAGGTGTTTGTTTATGCTGGAACTAGAGCATTTGTGTGTGTTACTAAGTTGGGTGCTGATGTGCTTCCATGGTTGATATGGCTCTTGGGGCTGGTAGGGCTTTAGTAGGTGACTGAGACTGGACTGAATCCTAAAGAGGGGAGGAATCTACAATTCTAGAGTCCTTACTTGGCGTAGGCCTTCTCCAGCAGGGCGCTCCAAAACTCTCGTGGTGTGGCCGAGCGGCAGAAGAGCAGCACTCCGTCCGCGCTGACCGGCAGACGGTCGTCCACAACGACGTCCGTCCACCGGCCGAGTCTCCAGAACCGGAAATGGAAGATGCCTGCGTACAGGTCGGAGTGCTTCGGATTCCACTCCTGGCCCACATGGTCTGGGATCACCTGGGGAGGAGGCGAGGAGGGAGATGAGATGAAGCCGTGAGGGAAGAAAAGGAGGATAGGACGACAGAGGAACACAAATACTCAACCTTCTTCCACAGAGATGGCTCAGACGCTAAGCAGGAAATGGCAGCCACCATCCAGCAGTTACCCAGACTGCCTTGGTGCAAGTCCCGAGTGCTGATGCCGTCAACAAACAGACGGGGGTCCTTACATATCTCCTGTGGTGTGTTTGGGAGAAAGAGACTTCACGTTTCTTTTAAAGAAAGACGCATTAAACCTACATTATTTGTATAAATCACACAGACAAGCAGAAACATATAGCATTCATTTGAAGTCATGTTTTTGGTCACCTGACACATGGAAGTCTAATATTCTGTCTCCCTTTTGCTCTATTTTCCGCTCCAAATATCAGGCTGCTAAATGCTACAGAACGTTCGCTATAGTCGCTAACTTCTGTTACTTGGTGCTGTTTAGTGTACAATGGGTTTTAAAATCCATCTGCCTGCCGCTGCATGAAACAATGCTGACGAGAGCGATGAGACTGAACTAAAATGAGGTAAAGTTGCGGGTCAGAAAACGCTAAAATGCTCCGTAGATCTGAGTCAGGTGATAATTCTCTGTGTGTTTTACCCCTTTCACATGCATGGCACATTTGATCCATTGTTGACATATAAACATTGATGATATAGCAGCTTTAAACAAACTCTGGTTAATGATTGCAGCAGTTAGTAGTGTCAGTGTTTCAAGAGGCCTGTGAGTGTCAGAGCACTGCTGAGGAGTCAGATCCTGTCTGTGTGGATCTGTTGATGTCAGTTTGGACAGGGTCAGGTGACAGTGGAGGTGCTGCTGGACACACAAATACACACCCGGTGGTCCTAACGTCATTAAATGTAACTCCAGACAAGATATGAACCTTCCTTGTGATGATGTCAACTTAATAACATGTATGAGGTCAACTGGGAAGTTAATAGGAAGTTATAGAGTGAGTCCATGCTGTTTCTGTGTGTGTGTGTGTGTGTGTGTGTGTGTGTCAGCAGAGGGAGGCGACAGATGTCACCCTATCATACGACTCCTTGTTGATACACGCTTAAAATACCTGAGTGTAGCATTAGGAACACAATACCATTAACCGCTTCTCTTCTGCCCTGAATCAGCAAATTAATCACCAGCATGGTTTCACATTAAGAGCGCTGTAGGTTTGGCCCTCACACTGAATGAACTTCATGAACTACTGAACAAAATACACGAGCATTTCCGAATTTGGAGATACATTTGGACCGTGAATTCATAGCATCTGCAGGTCTTGAAAAGTCTTCAAAAGTATTGCATTTCCAAAAAACTAAAATAAGTCCTTTCGCAAGTATTACCATTTTCATTCATATACGTTGTAAGTATTTTTGCACATTTTTTCCTACTTGCAAAGAGATTATATGGGGATTATACTTAATTGTATGTACAATTGTGTGACCCTTCCAAAACAATTGAAACGATAAATGACAGAGTTTGTGACAAATGCTTATTTTGACAAATTTTGTGTTTCAAATGTTTCTTCTTCGCTGTATAATGGCACTTTAGTTTATACACGCATAAGCCATTTCCTAACAAGCCCTTGCACTGTTGCATTTTGTTTTTAGGCCATTGACACTGGACGATAAATAATTTAACCTTGACTTTAAACGCCCATTTCATCGCCCCCATTAAAGGCCGCTCTTGCTGTAGCAACAATAAACACTGATACTTATACACAGCTACACCCATCTCAACACTGGGCTAAAAACACCTGGGCTATTTAAATTGGCTGCTGCTTTTTTTCTAAACTCAGCTGTACACACACACACACACCAATAGAGCGGTCCATCGGCATCCCGCACAACTCAAGGTCTCACTGCCTGACGCCTCTCCTATAATAGAAAGTACTTTAATTAAACCTAATCTGATGGAGACGTGGCATGCTGCTCCGGCCTCTCGATTTAGATGAGGGAGGAGAGGAGATATATTTGTAAAATAACTCTTTTGCTGTTGTTTGAACTGGTTTGAACTGGTTTAAACTGCTTTAAACTGGTGTAAAAACAATAATTCAGAAATCTATTTGATACAATTTCAGGGAAGAGCTTCTCCCTTCGCGTCACAGTCACCATCGGCCTCTTCCAGGTCAGTCCTGGCGGGGGCTCCCTCTTGTAGAAGAGGGACTGTGCGTTGGCAGGGAACAGGGGATCCTTGAAGAGCGCACCTCGACGCAGGCAGGAACGCCTCAGCTTGTGAAAGCTTTGACCCTGGAAATGGTTCACTCGTTGGGGCATTGCGGCTGGAGAGGAGAGGCTTCAGGACGGGTGGAAAGAAGATGAGGAATGGGACAGATGAATAGTTTATATGGAAAAGAGCATGAAGCAGCATAGGGTTACACTGTCCCCATATTTATAGAACATCTTGTATGAATTTCAAATTAAAACAGCAATGTGTCAAAGTAAAAGACATCTGTCTTCGTCATAGTGTTGTTTGTTTTACTGAAAGAAAGAGAAGCTCATTTGTCAACTTGCTTTAACACTGATTATCTTTGTTTGCATAGTTAATCACAAGACAAACAGTCGGTGTGCTAATATGCTGGTGAGTAATATGTTCATGGCTGACTGAACCAACAACAGTCCGCAAAATACATAGGCTGGGTTGACTAATATTGTGAACACAGAAGTAATGTATCCGTTATAGCTTTTAAAATTGTCTTGAATAAAAAAATGTACATTTAAATTGCCTAAAGTAGTTAAACACCACTTAAAATAGGAAAGCCTGTGGACATCTAAAGGGTTACATAGCTCATAGCCGGGGTAGCTGGAGGTCCTGCAGGGTCAGTGTGTGTGTGTGTGCGTGTGTGCGCGTGTGTGTTGGGGATAGGGTGAGGGCAGCAGTAAGGTAATACTACCGTTTTAGTCATCAGTGATATGAACTGCTGGGGTCCTTGAGTCAGCAGCATGTGTGATCATCAACTGGTGTGTGTGTCGACGAGAGTATGCCAGGTGTGTGTGTGTGTGTGTGTGTGCGTGTGTGTGTGTGTGTTGATGGCGGGTTCAACTGAGGGTCTTGCTGTGCAGAGAGGGAAAACAGAGACGAAACCTTGCAGGAGCTTGGGTCTGCAGATACCTCACAGGTCAGTGTCGTCAATTATCAGCGAGGTTTTGCTTTTCTTGTATCATATTTATGCAGAGAGACGGATAAACACGAGGAAAACATATGACGGCAACACTCGTTCATGATCTATGATTAATGAAAGCATAATAAGTTCATGACACAAATGCAGAGAGCAAATGTAGAAAAAAAGTTTAGTTTAGTTTAGTTCAATTTCAGCAAACATTCATGATGTTGCCAAGACTCTTCTGTGTGCAATACAGATATCTTAATTTGCACTTGTTTTTGTTCATTGCATTTAATTCATACTGTGTATTCATTTTTTAAATTGATGTTTCTTATTTAATTTGCTGTGGGATGTTTTGGCCTGTTTGTTTTCACTGCGCTGCAAGGAAAAGTTCCCTTACGGGACAACAAAGACTGAACTGAACATGTAAATACACGGTGCAAACAAAGAACTCGCTTACAGGCAGCTTCATAGTTTGTATAAGAAGAGAGGACTATCGTCGTTTCACGAAGCTCCAGCATGAGAAGCTTTTATCCACTTAAAGCTTATTTGTTTACTAAAAAATGATTTAACTGCGAGTTAATAATTATAAATTGACGGTACTGTTCATTTACAACTATAACTAAAGATACAAGAAACATATAATTCTTTAATAACTATACATTATTTTAAATATATGAAAATATAAGTTTGACATCACACATTACTGATCTACACATCCTCTGGCAGCATCAGAAACATCAGACAATATACTATTAATATGCATATTTAGACATGTATTATTGTGTATTAAAGGGGCTTTGAGTGATAGACTGTTCCAGTAATGTGGTTTGATTGCTGCCATTCAGTTTGTATTTTGATTATTAGTGACACTATTCAGTCATTATTACGCATTAGATTGTGATATGTCACTTGTTATACATTAGAGAGGTGTATCCCATTTTTATAATATAAACTGCAGGTATAAATATCTATTACCTTAAAGTCAGACTAGAAGTTTATCCACTTGCGTTCCTGAGATGAATCTAAGCTCCTGGACCTCCGGTCACTGAGGGAATCCTAATTTGTCCGATGCAGAATGGCACAAATCACCAGCATTTGTCATCTCATTCTTCTTGTTCTTCTTTTGCCAGAGTCAGCTGTTAATAGCTGAGAGACACTTTCTCCTTCTGTCCTCTAAATCTGTCGGGAGCGTCCGATTCATCCCTTCCGGACACTTAACCCAGTGACATCTTCGAGATTTGTTTTACTCGACCTGGATGGAAAAAAAATATGAAATCAGAAAAAAATGTTAGTTAATAATAATACAAAAAGAAAACTACTCTGTGAATGAAGCTGCAGGGTAAACGTACAGCTTGGTGTGAGCACTGCAAGTTCCCCGACACCATCTATTATGAGTGTGTCTGTGTGTGTCTGTGTGCGTGCGCATGCATGTGTGTGTCCATATGCATACAGCCTTGACTTACAGCGCAGGGTGTCACTGCTGTAACTTTATCCCCCTCCACACAGACAATAGACAGACAGTCACCTCGCTGAGTAACATGACACACAATTATAGCCATGGAAGCCAGCAAAATACCACAGTCACTGCAGTTACTCTTGAGTTTCAGACACTTAAGATGAACACTTTATCCTCTGTGTGCAAACTGTTCTGCAGCTGGAGAACATAGGAGTGTGTGTGTCCGTGCATATGTGTGTGTCACTCACTTCTGGTTGGTGACTGAGCTTCTTCTTTTCCTTTCCTCGTATCTCACAGCTTTTCTTTTCTGTCCTCATGTTAACATGGTCCACACTTCCCCCTCTCTCCTAGTTTTCCGTCTTATCTTTTTGGTCTCTCCTCTTCCCGCCTCTCCTCTCCTTTCCTCTCCTCTCTATCTTCTCCCGCACAGACTCCTCGGGTATCTGTTCACTGTCGAGTGTGTTTCCCCTGACACCTGAGAAACCAAGAGGCACGTGCCTTCTATTTTAACCACCTCGCTGCCAAATGACAAGCTAATTATCCCCCATTCCTGTGTGATCGACCCGAAGCAGCAACTCAGGGCTGATAGATAGAAATCCTGTTTCAGCTGAAGGCCTTTTGTTTGGAACAAAGCAAGCTAAAGATCTAATCCATCATAATTGAAAAGGAGTTGACATAGCAACATGTAAATAAAGGGAAATAGCACAATTTGTATCAAAACCTTAAAAGAATAAAAGTGTCTTGTTGCCCATATATTTCAAAATATGTTTGATTTTGTTGATAAATGAGGTATTCATTTATTATTTGTTTGTTGTTGTTTTTTCATCTAGTTGTTATCCCAAAATATGGAATTATTTTATATGTGCTTACTCTTGACTTAATGCCATTGGTTTTATGTTTCTGATTAAGAAATTACTTTTGCATAACCTACTTTATATTTAAATACCGCAGCTTCTTTTCTTATATGACAACATATTTAATAGATCTATGTATTTATTTACATAGGCTTACTACATATTAATGCATAGCCACATTTTTTTACTTGTTAGGTATACAATAAAAAAATGTAATATTCTAATATTGACTGAATTAATATAGGCTGCCAAGTATAATACATCGTATCATATATATTTGCATTATATGCATTTCTACAACAATATGTACACATGTATTTATTCTACATACTGGCAGATAGTTTTTATTCTGCATATTAATAATATATTTGTTCATACATGACCATATATTAGATTTTCATACGAGTTATTCACAACTATCCCAACCAATGAACCCAGTAAATGTGTGTAAAATTACTCAAAACACAATAGCAGTCAGTGGTGTATAAAGTACCCAAAAGCCATACTTGAGTAAAAGTAAAGATACCTTACTGGAAAATGAGTCCAGTAAAAGTAAAAGTCACCTATTAGAATACTACTTGAGTAAAAGTCTTAAAGTATCTGATATTTATTGTACTTAAGTATCAAAAGTAATTTTCTGATATTAAATGTACTTAAGTATTGAAAGTAAAAGTACAAGTAAATGCTGTTAATAAAAAAGCAAAGGGTCAGAATTTTGAGAATTATGAAGTTTATTCGTTTAAGTGCTGTGGCCACCATGACCAAGGACATGGAGCTGTGTTGACAATAATTGGGTTGGCTGTGATCCATCCAGGAGCAACAATGTTCAACATAATATATTGTACATAAGTATACTTTTGTATCTACTATGAACTTATCATCGTAATTCTCCGAAAAGCAATATGACACTATGAAGGAGTTGTAACAGTGTGTTTATAAGTATGCTCATTCCGACTAGAGGATGTAGAGGGCAAATGCATAATATTGTGTTCAGCAAAAAATATCCACTTGATGCATCAGGTCAGTGTTGTGAGAAAGGACACCTGCCTTGTAAACTCCTGTGGGCCTGATTTGAACACAATAGGCAAAGGTTTTGCTCAAGCTGAATCTGCTACCATCATAACTCCATCTGATCATCCACAAAATGACTCAAATATCAAAACATGATCGATACTAAAGCAGCACCGAAAGTAACAACCCAGTCATTACTTGAAAAGACAATTCTAATACAATGTAGCTTCTTTACATTCCATTAGAATGTAAAGAAGTTACATTGTATCAGAATGTAGCTTCTGTACATTCTAATAGAATGTACAGAAGCTACATTGTATCAGAATGTAGCTTCTGTACATTCTATTAGAATGTACAGAAGTTACATTGTATCAGAATGTAGCTTCTGTACATTCTAATAGAATGTACAGAAGCTACAGTGTATAGAATGATTCTATTGAAGTTATTCCTTTTTTAAATGTTTTAGACGAGTCACTAATCACTTTAAAAGAGTGATTATAGCTGATTTAACTTACAGACATGAGATTGATCTTCTCATGTCACTCTCTTTATACAATGATATAAATTCATCCCCGTTTTATTGATATCTTACGAAAAGTTACTCCTCACTTTTCGTGCGTTTTTCCTGCAAAAGTCCAGCAGCATGAGTCTGTTTTCGCTTGTTACGCGCATACTGTCTTTCCAAAATAAACTTCCATCTTCACAGGAAACAACTACGGTTTAGGCGATGAAACTACTTAGTTAGGTTGAGGAAAAGATCGTGGTTTGCGTTAAAATATCTACGGAAGTGGCGTTGCTTAAGTACGGAAGTCACGTCACAAATGAATCAACATTGGCTTCTCGTTTCACGCACGGCACAAACTGCGGCCTCCTGGAGGAAACACCAGTGTTTGTTTGACCCATCCACCTCTCCTCATCCCACCCGTCCTGTGTGGAATTCTACTCGTGTTGCCGCTCGCTAGCTATAGCATATAGCATCCTGGGCATCACTGGGAATCTAAACACCGCGGCTTTGAGAGCACTTGTTTTGCGCATTAACGTGATTAACCAATGATTTAACTGATTCACCAAACCTGCTTGCTTGCAGTCTCTGTTCCACCACAGTCCCCGACGCTGGTCTCATGATTCATTTTGTTTCTAAAGATAGATTTGATTTTGTAGCGAGTAACGAAGGTTTCAGGGGAAATGTATCGGAGTAAAAGTATCAGTTTTCTTTGCAAAATGTAGTGAAGTAAAAGTAAAAGTCAACAGAAATATGAGTAGTAAAGTAAAGTACAGATATCCAAAAAAAACGACTTAAGTACAGTAACGAAGTATTTCTACTTCGTTACTATACACCACTGATAGCAGTCATGATAAGTCACGCAAATGGGCGTAAGAGCTAACTAACATTAGAATAAATATGTTTCAACTGAATAAAATAATATTAATGAAATAAGTGAAGGGTGGAGGTAAAAAAGTGCAACATAATGAAATAAATAGGCTCTTTTCTCATGAAGCGCTAATGGCGTTTTCTTCTATCGACAATCTTCCCTGAAATCCAACCACCAGGCATCTACTAGCCGTGTCTGTTGAGATATGCTACGCATGCGCAGTTCCAACTTGCCGAAATGCCGATGTGGCTGCCGAGATATTAAACTTTTGTCTCGCCTGAAAGTTTAAGAACAAACTGTTGCGATGAAACTTTATATCCTGGTTTTGTTGAGTGTCTTCTGTTCTGTTACAGCAGAAGAAGACGAGAGACTGCCGAATAAATGCGAAGGTAGGACGAAGAAGTGACACTAGCCAGCTGTTATGATGCTATTTACGTGACTTTATAACCGCGGTATGGCACGCGTTTGCATGGTTTTGTGTCCTCGAGCGTATGCACAAACCCTCTGACATGTAAATAGTTTTAAAATGGATTCATTCCTCTGTTTCTACCGTCTGTCAGTGTGTAAGTTTTTAACGGTGGAGCTGCAGGACGCGCTGGAGAAAACCGGTCGCTCCAAAGAAGTCCTGGAGGTCGGAGAGGTGCTGGACACGGGCAAGAGAAGAAGAAAGATTAAATACAACAACTCGTATGTTAAGTCACTTTAATAGGAAGAGGAAGACACCCTGGAGTCGAGACATTGTAAGTAAATAACCAGCATTTAAACCTGTATTCTGACCCCAGGGAAACCCGGCTGACTGAGGCGGTGGACGACATATGTGAACGCATCCTTCAGTACAGTGTCCACGCAGAGAGGCCCGGCAGCCTCCGATATGCCAAGGTGACTATATCTGTCTGCTTGAGACATGTCTCCCTTTCATTAAATTCAGTATGTTCCACGTTAAAAGACAAATCTACCACCGTTACCGTGCTTATGTGCACACGTCTTTGGTAATATCAAAGTGCCATCCAGCTGGTTTGTATGTTTTGCAGGGTACCAGTCAGACCATGGCCACTCTGAAGAACCTGGTCCACAAAGGGGTTAAAGTGGATCTGGGTCTGCCGTTTGAGCTGTGGGACGAACCCTCTGTAGAGGTGTCGGACATGAAAAAACAGGTGTGTGTGTGTTTGTGTGACTGTTGTAAATGTTGAAACACAATCAAACGTATCATTGTTTTAATTTAAAAGGTATTGTACAGCCCTCAGTGTAACATAAATGCATTTATTTCAAGTAATATCTCCAAAGAGTTCGTCAAAAAACAGAGGAAGTCCATTTTAACTTTTAACACAACGTGTGTGTGTGTGTGTGTGTGTGTGTGTGTGTGTGTGTGTGTTCAGTGCGAGACGATGCTGGAGCGGTACGAGGACGTCGTGGAGGACTGGTACTTCCATCATCAGGACCAGCGGCTGGAGAACTTCCTCTGTAAGAACCACGTCCTCAAGACCTCGGAACAAGGTAGACGACGCGTGGCCCAATGACAGTGTCTCATCCAACGTTCTAGCTTCACGTATTCAAAGGCTTTTAAATAATAAGTGTGTTATCAAGAACTCGGGTCACTCCTTCCTCTGCTGAACACAAACTGTGTCGCTCAAACCTCCTTTTGATTGGTTTCGTTTTTCTACCTCAGAATGTATAAAGGAGGCGTGGAAAGGAGACATGGGGACCAAAAGAGGGGACAAGGAGGCAGAAGGTGACAGCACGCAAGAGGAGGGGACAACGCATGACGCTGGGGAGCTGTGAGGGAAATGTTTCCAAAAAAGGGAAAACGCAGAAGGCAACTGAATAACCTCAATTTTAGCTACAAACTGCAAAGAAATGATGTATTATGACACTATTGTAGCATTTTTACCAACATTTTTATGACCATTCTGGTGCCAAATCTTGTTTCTAGAGTTCATGTTTTAAACTACATTTCTTCTGTTTTTTTATGAATGGTGTCAGCCTTTTTAAACACTCAGCTTTTTTGGATTAAAGTTTGAAGCCTTTGCCATTAAATATTATCGTCCTTTACAGTGTTATATTACGTGTACACGCTGTTACATCTCTCCTTATGCAAGCAATATGGCACACATCAATATGTTTACCACAAATTACAGCCTTTAAATGCAATATGTACAGTTTTTCATTGTGAATAAAATGCTTTTTTTTTTTAATAACACTTTTGTATATACAGTTGTTTTTCTGCATTGTGTTCCAGAAAAACGTCCTAAAATAAGATTGTTTTGTTGTGATGCTGCAGGTCGCTAATCAAGGATGATGAGTTTCAGGTGTGTTCCTTCTTTGCTTCATGTTGACGGCCACATTAGGAAACTTAACCAGAAGAGACGTTTTCAACGCACCGCCACCACAATGCCTCTTGCTCCTCTGTGCTTCACACTTCCTCTATACATTCTGTCTGGATTAGTGGCAATCCAGTGCTACACATACCAGACCAAACCTCTTTTCCTGTCTTTCTCGGAGATGGCCGCCCTTGAGGCCGACTCTTTGCATGAGACAAACAGACCTCACTTTGGGGATCCCGTCGGCGGTCACGAGGTCAAGACATTTGTGTTGAAATGTCACGAGGACAGCATGGAGGTTGTGATGAAAGCTGATCTGTTTGACCCGGGCCGGCCTGTGGAGCCCACGCACTTGAGGCTCGGACCTTTCAGTGCCGTGCGAGATCACTGCGCGGCCAGAGTGTCTGGAAATGGGGAGTACATCATCAGAGCACCTCTGACTGAGTGTGGGAGTAAAGTGACGGTTGGTGAGCCTCTTAATAATCAAAATGTTACACTGGTTTTACTGTGGAGTCAGCAAATGTAGAAGTAAAACAGCCAGAAAACCACACTTTACTCTTAGTCGTGAATCCTCCCAATGCAACAGAACCCAGCTGGATCATTGCTTAATGCTGCCATCTAGTGGATTAGTATTGATGGTGCTTCGTGTGTACTTGTATCTCTTGTGTGTAGTTTACCCAGAGTGCTGTGCTCTACAACAACCTGCTGCTGTACTCTCCTCCAGCATCACCTGGAGGCATGTTGCGAGCAGAAGGAGCTGCTGTTCCAGTCCAGTGTGGATATGCAAGGTGCCATTCACACAAACACGATGGTCCTGTGTATAGTTGGAATAGCAAGCAAACTTTATTTAAACCTCGAGTACAAAGTGCTTTAAAGGGGGAGATGGAAATAAAAGACAGAACACACTTTTCTATATAAAACCTTCAAAGTAAAAGTCCTAAAATCACCTTTAGTTTTCAGCCTCACAGGATAGATTCACACTTGTTTATTGTAAATCTCAAATGCCTGTATGTATATTGAACTAGTTTATGGTTACTGTGAGGGTAATTTCTGCTATCAATTGTTAGTTTTCCGACTAGTTTCTGTGATAGATATGGAAAGGATTTCTGTTGAAGTCCCTCTACCTTGCAGGAGGTACACAGTGAGCAGCCGGGCCCTGAAACCAACCTCCATCCAGTCAACACACCTGGACTTCCACCTCAGGCTCATGACAAGTGAGTTGGTTTCTAAACATGACCCATTTGATTTTATTCCTAAATACATCTGTTAAATAAGGTGCATTTCTTTATGTACTCATTGGCAAATAAATGTTATATTTTCGTGGCTGAACTATTAAACGTGCAGATATTTTTTGGGGTTTTCATTCCTCAGATGACTGGAGCAGTGAGAGAAAGTCGTCCCTTTACTTCCTGGGTGACGTGGTCAACATGGAGGCCTCTGTGGATCATCATCACCTTCCTCTGCGTCTGTATGCAGACAGCTGTGTGGCTACTCTGACCTCCGATGTGAATTCTTACCCCAGATACCCCTTCATAGACCACCACGGGTGAGTCCTTTACGTCTTTTAATGTCTGCAGAAGTTCCTGCAATTAATTTTCCGAATGAAAACTACTTCCTTTGAACGGAATCGGGTGGCCCTCATTGCATGCTTGAATCCGTTCTGTTTGTGTGTACCATTCTCGTAAAATGCACCCAAATTACTGGTTAAATCTGATAAGGACATGCTCTTTGTAGATGTTTTACAGACTCACAGCTGGACGGCTCGAGCTCCCGTTTCCTGCCCAGAGTCCAGGGCGAACTGCTCCACATTCGACTTGAACCTTTCCTCTTCCACCAGGACCACCGACACACTGTCAGAACCAGTTTCACTTCTTATTTAATAATCTACAGTTTAAAGAATAATGCCTAAAGTGTGTGTCGTACTGTCTCCTGTAGATATACGTAACATGCTACCTGGAAGCAGAGCCCAGTTCAAACAAGCACCCAGTGAAAAAGGCTTGTTGGTTTATGAGGGGAAGGTCTGTTTCACCTCAATGTTGAATCTCTGTTCTTTCTGTCCACAATGCTGAACTTATCCTAAAAAACAGTGACATAAAAATATAAACAATTGTGTTTTTTACCCGTCAGGTGGAGGTCAGTGGATGGTGATGACGGTGTTTGTGGGAGCTGCAGCAGAGTGGAGACAAATGACATCAGTGGTGCCAAGTCCAACCACAAGAGGGCGCTGATGATCACAGCCAAGCCCAGACAAACGGGTATTGCGTCTAATACTAGTACAGTACTACTCAGTAGCAGTACTGAATACTCTGTATATAAAACACAGTTTGTGAGCCATGAAATTATCAACTTAACTCTGATTTTATGTCCTTGCAGAGCTGCACCGAACCAATTTGCGTCCAATGATATTTCTCCCGTTTAAAACGCAAACATCTGTATTGAAGTGATTGAGTTAAATAAACATAAGTATCTGTGAAATATGACAAAAAATGAATTGTTTCATCTGCAGACTGAAGTACGGGGTCCTGGCACACCTGAACCTTTTACAATATAGTGTGTAATAAAGTGTTGCTGGAGTCCTTTTATGTTTTATTTTCAGACTCTTTCAGACCTGCAGATTCATGGGAAATATACTGTAAATATGTTTTTTTATATTTCTATTAGTGTCATGAAACTCGGATGGATGTTGTAATATTTGCACAATTATTACCACCAAATATTGGTACTTTTTTAGGGAATTTAATGCTTTTTTTGGGGTATGTTTTTTAGCCTCCATTTCTCAGATGGTGGTGCTCCTCCTGTTTGAAGCTTTTACCGGTAATCATGTGACATTACAGTCACCCATATCCAATCTCGCAGACCGCGCTGCCTGATAATCACGCCACTGTTTGGACTCGTATGTTGGCTGATGAAAGTCTGATTTGCTTTCATCATAGCGGCTTTCATCTTTGCATTGTAACCGATGCTAGCTGGCTGGTGAAGTCAGACAAACGAGGGCTTGAAATGCGTAACCATTAGTTCAGTTTTTTTAATGCATTTGTGGTTTTCTATTTCAACATATGACACAACTTTAAATATCAACACCACTCATGCATTACATGCTTGACTTCTTTTGAGGGTAAAACTCCCGCTACTAGATACCACTAAGACCATACATAATATTGTTATACTGTAATAGTGATTTAGTAATTTGACAAAGTTTGACCTCTTTTAGTTGGACAAGCTGCAGTTTCTCATTTAACAGTAAAAAAAAAAAAAAAAAAATTATTATTTGCACTCAGTTCTTTTTTCATTCTTATTTCGTAACCTGCTTTGATTTTTGAGCTATTGCATACAGGCATAAAGGTTGATAATGGCCAGAAGCGTGCATGTTATGTACAAACAGGAGGTTGCTCTTCACTGTGAAAGGTTCTGGATTCCAAACTTGGTTCCTTCTGATCTTTTCTTTGACCTTTTGATCCTTAAACGCAGCGTGTTCAAATCATTTTATTGGTGAGTTTTCCTTCACATCAACAAAAGTCTGTTCCCCTTCTCCATCCAGCACCTGCCAGCACGAAGTGAGGGAAGCTTGGAAAAACAAAAACATTGCATTTGGATTCATGGCAACCAGGATAATTTGCCACTCTGCTGTTTTTGCCAACCGTGATTTAGAGCCTTCAGTCAAGGTTTTTATATTGCCGACATCTGTCTTGTTGCAGTAAAACAAAATCATCATAGTGACAGGAAAATACTCTTTGTAGATCTTTTTGAAGAAGAACAAGCTCAATTTTGTGTATTTTGTTATGCTAACTTCTCGTGTCCAGAGGTGATGCTTGAGATCGATAAGAGATCCCTGTTGCAGGTTCAGGACAGTTTGTGTCAAAAGTCTGTCCATCGTTTCCTTCCTCTCCAGACTGCCGTATACACTGGAGAAGGTCAGAGGGGAGAGAATACGAGCTCCTTGAAGATCTACTTCGATGACGGAGGGCGACCCCCTGAAATGGACCGGACATGTGAGATACATCTCCACGTTAAAAGAGGATCTTGTTACAGCCTCTCCACCTCGATATCCCGAAGTAAAGCACACGGCCAATTGTACTTTATTTACGCTAATTGTTAAAGTTTTTCAGAAGATGCTTGTGATCCAATTTTATTGATTTTTAAGATATCTATAGGAAATTATTAACAACAAATTACATGATTTAAAATAAAACAATTGAGGAAATAAATACAAATAAAAAAATAAAAATATATAGTTTTTAAATCCTAAAAAATAATAGATCTCCACATAACACACTGGGGAATGTGTTATGAAACAATAAAGTTACATAAATTCTTAGCTTGAGGAAATCAAAGACTTTTATTTTTACCTCAATGGAAAAATATATATAAAAGAAAAATTTCAATATAATTAAAAAATGTTAAAAACTGTGACGATTATGTTTCTCCAGTATCGAGTAATGTTGGTATTGTATTGGCTTTTTAACCCATACTTGTGGTTTGTTTGTTGTCGTAGATTATTGATATAAATACTAAATGGTACCGGGCCTAACACGGATCCTCGAGATGCATCCATTGTCTTCCATTAATATTTCCTTTGCTCTGAATTGAAAATTGGGGACCCTCCAGAAAAGATTATCAATCAGATTTTGCTAATCTTATTTATAGAATAATGAATCAAATATATCTGTATCTGTACCTCAGAGTTTTATTAGACCTTTCTTTCTTGCTCTAGGATTATTTTTCTGTACCTTCATAATAAAAGTTTCACTTACAGAGTTATAAATGTAAAACAGGCCTATACAGCACATCCTTTAATTTGTGGTACCACAACATGCATTTAAGGCTTCTTCTGAGTGTGCCCATGGTGTGTCATTGCTCCAGTAATTGAGAAATAAATACATTTTCTATGTGCATCACCACATTCATATCTGATTATCAAACCCCAGTACAATGCCATATTGTTGTACTTTAAACATTCAAGCACAGCTAATCCATCAAACAGACGCCCTTGTTGTGAAATATGCTCTTATTCTGTCAAAGAGGCTTAAAGTTGACTTTTATAATTACACCTCCATGGTATTTTGTTTATTAGGATTTGAGTCTCTCAGCACATTTTTAGCTGCAGGTTTCAAACTTTGGCAGAATGAGGCACCTGTCAAGGACCACCTGAAGTGTTTTCTTAATCAGTTAAACGTTTTCTTGTTTCATTTTTAGCAAATCATTTCTGTTATCAATTTGTGTTATTTAAATGGTAACCAACTGAGTCCCACCTCAGCTATCTGAAATCTCTTGTGTTTATGCTGCCAAAAAGTGTAATATTGACGCATAAACGTGCTACTTCGCCATTCAATTTACTTTATTGCACTTGTCCTGCGTCCAAGGATAGCATTTCTTAACTGCACTGTAACTATTAGACACACACACACACACACATACAAAGCACACCTGGGGAAACATTCCTCGGGGGAAGTCATCAATCAGTTTTATGGCTTTCTCTGGGAAAGTTTCCTCCTCTCCAATCAAGCGTCTTCCCTCCCTCCGCCCTCCTCCTTGATTCTCTTTCTTATATTTCCATCTGTATCAGTTTTGGTTCACATCTGAGAACGATCCACTGCAGCCAATTAACTTCAACCATTTTTCTTATTCCACTGAGGGATAATTGGAGCAAACTGGAGAGTGAGATCTTTGCCTGGACGATACAAGATAAGACTATTACAACTGGCTTTCCTCTGTGTGCTCAATTTGCCCGCCTGTGGTAATAAACCTGAAGGTGGAAGATCTGTGCAAGGTAGAAACTCATGTCCTTGAGCTGTGGAATTGAGTCTTAAAATTCTAGTTCTTTTTTTTTTTTAAAGAGGAAAGAAAAAACTGCCTTGAAAGTTGGAAAGAAAAAAAAAGCCACTTGTCTCTAAATAAGATCAACCTGTTTCAGTTTCCCCTCAAGTGTGTTGACATTGGTTTGTTTGGTTTGTCTGATTTTCTCCAGAGCTTGCAACAACAAATTCAGTGAAATTGGTTCATTTTCAGATAGATGATGAGACTAAGCGTGTCATCAAGTGCAGCCTTTTATAAGTCATGGAAGAAGTATTCATTCTGACTTAAAGGCCCTGAAACATTCCTTCATATATGAATGCAAGATGTCATGACAAAGTTTTTGGTTATTTCAACTAAGAGACTTTTTTTATATTTTACATTTGTCTTGACTGATTTTAAGTGGGTATTTGTTGGAACAAGCTGATGTCACGCACCATCAGGATTTAGTGACATGAATTATGTCAAATGAAATTGATTACAGTTGTTGCGTTGCTGTCTACAGTCCTGGTTACGTAGTTGTTAAATGCTCAATAAATGATACAAATGGATTTTTTTCCCCTCCAAACTTTAACACTGATTGTTGCTTAATAAGTCAAATATTTTTATGTTGTACTGAAATACTTCTGACTTGGAATTACATTTTCAGGGTATAAGAAGTGCAGCCTGAATAAAACCAGAAGTACAGAGTACAGAGGTATTGTCAAAATGTATATAAGTATCAAATGAAAAAGTACTCATTATGCAAAGAGTGATACGTTATTATTATTACTTATATATTAATATGAGAGCAGAAGTTGAATGTCAGTTGGCTGAGATTCATTTCATTTTGTCGGGTTGTTTTTAACCTGTAACTGTGCATCAATTACACAGTGACTGTGTCATTGCTAAAACACAACAATATTAAAATACTCTATTACTAAGAAAAGTCCGGCATTGTTACTTAAATACCGTACTAGCACTTAAAGTATCTGAAGTAGAAGTACTCAATTCAGAAAAATGACCCCTGTAATTTATTTTTTTTTCACAAGGGAATTCTGAATACACAAAGTAATCGAAATAGATATACTTATTTCCACTATTGCATAAATGAAGTTTCAACAGCTTTTCACAATAAAGGGCCAGTATTTCACTGCATTAGATTTTGGAAGAAATAGGTTTGTTGTTGAGATTCAGTGACAACATGTACATTATTACTACTTAATTGTAGATTTAAAGAAACAAAACAAAACAAAAAAATACGGATGAGATATTAGAAAACGTTATGCATAACGTTTTACACCTTGAAATCAAGTTTAATAGAAAATAGCGTGCTTGTTTGAGTTGGATAAAGACATTTTGCCTTGTAAAGTACTTTGGCAGAAGCGCGCTGTGCGTAAAGCAGGATGTGAGTGGCTCCTCATGAGGTGGGAGTACTTGGCTCACTTCAGTTAAATGGAGAGACGCACCTCCCAGCTGATCCCGTTCATTTATCTTCCCTCCTCCTCCTCCTCTTCCTCCAGTACCCGGTGTGTTGCCCCCTCTCGGTAGGTTTACTTCTGCTCTGCTGCTCTGCGGACGCGCTGGAGCTGGATGTCCGGACACTTGCTGCTGCGCTTCTCTTAATGATCCGGAGAAGCGAGGAGAAGGAGAATCACTGGGACGCACATGGTGA